GTTAGCGGAGCTGCGCATCTAAAAGCTATCTTCCCTAAGACAGTGCTAGCAGTTGGCACATTTAATAAAATCACAGCATTCGATCTCAGGCAGTAGCCACTTACAATTCGCCGTGAGATCAGGGAGCAGATGTAGGAAGGAAGTTTCCCTAACATGGCTTTGTATATAAAAATGTACCAGTGACTGAGCCTCTGTACAGTTAGTGATTAAGGCAAACCTGCCCTTGCATACAGGGTACAGTGATGGGTTAATACTTTACAGTTTGTCACAAATCTCAGTGCACTGTGATAGGCGGCATCTAACTTGACCAGGCAATTGGCAGGTGCATTCATATAGATCAGATCACCATAGTCCAGTACAGGTAAAAAGGTCACAGTGACTAGCCTTTTTCTGGCCTCAAGTGAGAAACAGGACTTGTTCCTGGAAAAGAAACCTAGCCTAACCCTCAGTTTTTTAAGCAGGTTATTGACATGAAGTTTAAAAGTGAGACAATCATCAAGCCAGATACCAAGGTATTTGTAACAGGTAACCACTTCAAGTTTTATTCCTTGCGTAATTACAATATCTAAAACAGGCTCTGGTGTCTTTTTAGCTTTTGAAAAGAGCATTACCTTGGTTTTATCAACATTTAAAAGAAGCTTAAGCGCTGAGAGCTGAGTCTGAATAATGAGAAGCTTAATTTGTTTTTTTCTATCAATGTGTAACAGTTATCAAAATACTCATTAAAAGAAGGACAAGGAAAGAATAAAAGAAAAGGCCTATAAACTAGACCCTCCAGAAAAACGCGGGCTAAAATCCTTGATTATGCGGGCTAAAATCCTTGATTATGCGATTAAACATGCAGGGTTTTTATGTGATTTTATGCGGTGAAGTTGCGAAATATGCGGAAATATGCGAAAAGTTGCGAAAAAAAGGTGATTCTTCTCCCACACCCTGTTACTAGGCTACTACTGAATGAAAGTGAGCCCTTTTAAAGAGTTCCTATGATAAACAAGCATACTAGAAGCAAGCTACATCACAAAGTGTTATTTATGTATTTATATATGGGCTATTTTAATCACTCTCTCACACTCACACACACACACACACACACACACACACACACACACACACACACCACACACACACACAACACACACACACACACCACACACACACACACACACAACACCACACACACACACACACACACACACACCACACACACACACACACACACACACACACCACACACACACACACACACACACACACACACACACACACACACACACACACACACACACACACACACACACACACACACACACAACACACACACACACACACACACACACACACACAACACTCTTCTCCGCCTCATTCTGTTTTCATTTACTCGTTCGTTATCTGACCAGCTTCAATCTTGTAGGCTACTCACCTCGTTTCTTGTAGCCCTCGAAAGGGTTTTGGAGGTTGATGCCTCGGTGAACGCGAGTTGTTTGACTTTCTTGTCCGCAGCAGCAGAAAGCATTTTAGAATGTTTGAATGAATCAAAGTGGGTCGTCACCGTCGATTTTCTCTTATGCTCCAACACACAGTTGCACGGGGTGCAGAATAGTTTCCCCCCACTTTCGTGCAAGACATCGGGGTACTGCTTTGCCCGGTCTTTAGCAGAAATGTTCGTAGGCAAATGAGATGGATTCGATTTTTTTCATCTTGGTCAGAGCCGTATAATAGTATAATAGTATATAATAATAATAGTATAATAGTATATAATAATCTATATGGCGCTGATCTTGTTGTTTTCTCTCTCGTGTGAGTTCCACACATTCACTCTACGGTGTTGTTTACCTGCGCGAGCTGATGACATCACTACTTCACGTTAACTTTTTTTTCCCTCAACTTTGTGTGGAAAAATGCGGCGATTATGCGACCTTTTAATAAATATGCGCCCTTTTAAAAATCTGCGCCATTTTGCTGATTATGCGGTAAATTATGCGATCGCATAATCGCGTTTTTCTGGAGGGTCTAATAAACAACACATTATGTAATGACTCAAGAACATTTTCATGTAATTATGTAATAAAACCCACATTTTGTAATAATCTGCTGCATTCTGTAACAGCCTGAACGCAATATAAAATACATTTCCCTGCATTTTGTAATAAATTATTACATTTTGCAATGGTTATTACAAAATGCGTGAGTTGCCCTTTTAAAAAACTGTAATATTCATTATGTAACCATAACCAAACTGTAAATATATCCCAAAATTGATGTTGATATACATGTTGGCTAATGAATATGGTAACACTTGATCTAGTTTTGGCCAATGAAAGATATTCTACTGAAATATTTTTAAATTATGAGTAAGGATGATTCATGGTTGAATAAATAAATAAACAGTTGTAATGTTATTGTTTGCAACTCATTTTGTAATAACCACAGCAATATGTAATAATATATTTCAAAATGTGGCGACATGCATTACATATTTGCATTGAACTTGTTTACTACATAATGGGCAAATTATTACAAAAGGAGGTGTTATTACATAATGAAGGGAAAATGTATTACATTTTGTATAGGTATAGTTAATAAATGATGCATTGTTATTTCATACAGGGCCAAAAAGAGCAGTCTGTTATCCTATTTAACAATCTTGTTTTTTTGTTTCACCTGGTGACAACTTTAAACATGAGCTGATCACTCATTAAAACAAGGTCCGGAACAGGGCCAAAAAAAAACAGTCTTGTACCCTATTTGATCGTCAATCTTGTTTTTTTCGTGCCTTAACTCACAAATTCTTGTGTTAATGGATGTTCTTATATCTGATGTCTTGGTCCCTGGATGGTGGTTTACTACAGCATCTGTGGAACAGAACAATTACAAATAATTAGAAGTTCACAAAAGACAGCAGGAATTATAACAATATCCATAATATCTATATTAAAGCATGGGCTGGCTTGGTGAATAATGTGGGAATACAAATAGTGGAAGAATAGGCTTTGTACATTTTCGTCTGAGTGTGGCGCTACTGGTTGGTATATTTTATGGAATTTGGACCAAGCATCTGCATCTGTAACAGTTCCGTTTAAAACTTTTTTAAATGTAATTGCATTCATCTTTAAAGGTGGGGTAGGTAAGTTTGAGAAACCGGCTTGAGATACACTTTTTGTTATATTCCATGGAATGCTCTTAACATCATATGGTTTAGCCTTTCTCAGGCTACAACATGGTTAAGTTTATGAATATTATTAAGGAATACAAATCCCTCTTTGCAATGTTTACCAGCCTCCTTAGGCTTTTCAATCACAATCATTCAACTGGAATAAAAACAATAATGTTAACATGAACATATGATTTAATGTTCGTTGTTTAGAGTTATTCTAAGGGTTTACTCATTGGCAGTGGCGTTTTTATATGTACAAAAGTGGTGGGGCACAAAAAACTTAGATGGCTATATATAAGCTTCTGCAGTGACGTGCAGTGAGGTTCATGGCTGGTGAGGCACTGGCACTGACTCTTCAGGTTTACAAATATTATATTTTGACCTAAACCAAAATATAATATTATTTTCAAAAGCTTTTTTTGTCTGATGCTTCGATTAATTTTAAACAGACAGTTCAACAAAAGGATACCCAAAAAATGTAATTTTATCATTTAAATATTGAATTGTTCTCTCTTAGTAAGATCCCATTTTCAATCAAATTGCGGTCTTACCTTGACTTGAAGATGAAGTCCATTTGCCTATCCTTCTGGACAAACATTTCTATTACTTTTTTGTAAAAGTCCTCCTTATGTTCTTGTAGTTTCAAAAGTCTATCATAAATCTAATCCATAGATTTATGATAAAAAAATTATAAAAGTAGGGTAGGACATGTGGATGTTATCCGGCTGATCAAAACGTGCATTTATCTACAGGTACGTTTCCCACAGATCTATTTCCAGCTATTTTCTAAAATCCTCTGGAGAAATCTCATTGCTTTTTGTCGAGGGAAGCCATGCGCAGCTTACTTCCTGGTTTTAGGACGCGTCACTGCAGCTCTCTCGTCTCCTCTTCACACACCACACTTTTCGCGGCACACGTACTTACAGCCAATCAGCTCTGAATGATTTGAGATGACGTATGGTGGGGATGGTAGCTCCATGCCCCTCTGGTCATTATTTTTTTTGCCACACACATTTCATTACAAAATACTCTGAGCATGCGCAGTGTAGTTTTTACAGTCACCGTTGACTTCACAGCGAGAGGGAGGGGCATAATCAGGTTTTGTCCCACATGGCTCTAAACAGCTCAATAGGCACACACTGTGACTGTAGACACACTAATTAGAAGAACACAGACTAAAACAGCAATGTACAGACGAATCAGATGATTAAACATGATCTTAAAATATATTTTATATATTTTTTTATTTATTTTTTTGCATTTTTGTAATCATTATTTGTAATACTTTCTGCTGACACTAGGTGGGGCTGTGCCCCACCTGCCCCTAATGACCAGTCGCCACTGCTCATTGGGAACTCGGTATGAGATAGAGCACACTGTTGAGATGTCCAATCTGCCTGTTTTACACACAACAGGGGGTTTGTGTTCAAATGAAGCCCATGATGAAGCCTCATGAGATGAACCCTTTTGCGAACCAATTGGCTGGAAAGCTTCAAAGCTTCATCAGGCTTCATCTCGCCATCACTAGACCATAGCATTTGAAATGGTTACGTTTTAAAAGTGTCCTGTTCTGGGTCAAGCTGAACAGTGAGACAGATGACCAGGAACTATAACTTCCGCCTTCAGAATAAGAAGTATTTGCTTTTATCCAACGACTGTCCATTCGCTATTGGTTAGAATTGCTTTTTTTTTTAACAATATTACTCCAATATAACTCAAAGACGTTTAGTATGTGTGTGTATAGGCTTACACTATGGAGCGAATCCGTACATCTGCATAGACAGACATGCACAGTGAATGTATACGGCGGAAGTACAAACCGGAAGTCCTGTTTGAATGATTGAGCTTTACACTTGTCTCTTGTTTCAACCGTTTCAACCAGCGCTCGCTGGACACACGCTCCATTCATCCTCGCGTCTTTATCTGCCGGTGTACGCGGCAGGCGCTGTGTGTTTGAAGTGGTTTTCAGGCAGGCATGTCAGGCACAACTCCCCCGCCTCCCTCGGCAGAGGCTGTGGGAACTGAGGCATGTTTTTTCCCTGGATACAAGCCTTTCAAACCCGAGGAGCACGGCCTGGAGCGCGGGTTCCGTCTCACAGCCTTCTCGGACCTGAAAGGATGAGGCTGCAAGGTCCCGCAGGAGGCTCTGCTCAAACTCCTGGCGGGACTGGAGAAGGACCAGGCCGATGGGACGGGGAAGGCCGAAGACCAAGCTTCGGATTTCGGCCAACAGCTGCCTGGCCCCCGACTCGGTAAGTCATATATTCAAAATTAGCAGAGCTAGCTTTCATTTGCTATTAGTGGTGGTTAGCGGCAGTTATCTAGCGTAAATGTTGCTAACAGTGTTAGCTTGTTTTAACTCAAATGGCAGCTCTTTTGACAGATTGACATTTATGGGCCAATAAAAGCGTTCTTAATAGTCCTCGGATATCGAATGTGTTAATTACCTACGTACAGTTACATGTTATACCGAGTATACTTTATTGTAAACAGATATTATAATAGATAGTAAACTAGCTAGCTAAGAGTGTTCACGAAGAGAAGTTCCACGATTTGTCATGTCACGATACGGTAGAATGATTCAGCAGAAATATTTAATGCGCTAAGAGCAAAGTTCATGCATTTGGTCAAACATTTCTTTTAAGAAGTTTCGCAATGTGTAAACGCTGTCCTCAGTGTACTGCTTTAATGTGTTAGGAACAGTTAGTGGAAAGCATTGAATGCAGTAACACTGAGTGACCACACACATGGACACTCTGTAGCCTACTGTTCATACACTATAATGCAACTTCACATAAGTCCTATTTTAAACATTATATTTAGAAAACTACACGGCCACGCACAAACAATAAAAGTTGAATTAATATAAAACAAACCATTAAGCAGTTTTTTTTTTTGTAGCCCATGATGGAAAGGAGCAGGGAGAAGAAAGTCTTATTTTACCCCTTACTTAAAAATCGTTGGTCTGTCAATCACAGCTGCTTACAAGTACTTACAGTAACAGGAAACTAAAAACACAATCTAAAGTCAACACAACAATCTACCATGAGAGAAACAGGTTACCGGACATCTTCATACTGTCTAATTCAGTGCTTTAAGTGTGGTCCGCGATCCATGAGCGCCCCCTAGTGGTCCGTGAGTATATTGGTAAAATGTCACATTTGAAATAAATTACTTTATTTAAATTTTCCATACTCTCGCGGGAATATCTCCGCAATGGAGCGAGCTTAACTTTCGATTGCATGATATAGCCCAGTGCAACACCTTCGTCACACATGTTGCCACTTGTTTGTACCATTTCCAGGCGATTTGTAATCTGTTCTAGAAAAACGATGTGTTTTTTTATTTTATTTCAAGAAGCGTATAAAACAAACAATGGATGTCTTTTATGAACATTTATCCATGCTGAAAATAGATTTAGATGTGTTAGGAGTGAGATAGAGATTATTATCTAATATATGCATCCAATGAAGCATTGCATGAAGTCTGTTGATGATCAGAGGCTGTTGTTGGGGCTGCAAACATTTGTTTTAATTTTTTGTAGGCAGACCATGCAGGCCAGCCCAATGGTCACCAAGGTTCATGTTTTAATAGCATTTTTAGAAAAAAAGGTAACGTGCCTTTGTGACGTGCAACAACATTAACCTTTCAGTTTTTTACTAATCACTACCCCCCTCAAATGGAAATATGTGTTTACATAAATGGTGACCAAACCGTTTGAGACCCACTGAGAACTTATGGCGCGTTTCCACTACAGCGCGGAGCCCCGAACCCCCGCGAAAAACCTTTTAAAATGCGTGTTTTCTAAATGGAGATTGGCTAAGCTAACGCAGTATATGCTCCGACCGTCCACACTCACAACAACGGCCTATACAGACATAAATAAACCAGCGACTGTATTCGCCATGACACAGACAGTCTGTGGTTTGTACTTGTTTAACTTTTGTCTAGTTTCTGAACAGATATGAGGAGCTGTGAGCAGGGCTCTCGGCTAACTTCTTTCACCATCCTCCCGGAACCGTCCCGAAATACAATCTAAGCCGTCCCGAAATTAATGTGGACCGTCCCGAATTTAAAATATTAGTTTTTCTACATTATCATTAGTTAAAATCATTCAAAGTGACCTTTAACATAAATAAAACATCATACAAATCATTAGATGATAATTCATCAACCTTTTTAATTGAGTAAATCAGTCAAACACATAAACAAAGGCCAAATATATTTAAAAAAAAACACACAAGCGAGAAAGTTACTCTAATATTGAATCCAATCAAGTTCTATCCAATTATCAAAAACATCCAACACTCTGTCCTGAAGACAAAAGACAGAACCCAGAGTAACCACTAACCAGGATGACAGTCTGTAACACAGTCAGGAGACCTTTACAAACTGCCCCGCCCCCTCGCACACAGACGGGGGAGAGAGCTCTCTCGTCTGGATTGGAAAGATCGAAAATAAGATCGAAAATACATCATAGACGCATTTTGTAGACTTATTGCATATTAGAAACGGAGTTGGCGAAACTAAAACTGCGATATAATGTTCATGTAGCAATAATACATGACATATATGTTTTAAATGTCTCCACTACCGATAAAAAGTCAGATAACGTCGGAGCTTAACGCTACCACTGTCTTTAATAATTCCGGCCCGGGGCCCGTTTAATACCGGGGCTCGGTACCCATCCCTACATGGGGAGAGACGCAGCATATTGCTAAGGACTAAATACGATGGAGAGTTCTCATCTCAGCCTTATTACCCATAGGGGATGAAGAGGAGTTAGTAAATAAAGAGGCCGGCGCTCCAGGGTTAGGTTCTGCTGTGCGTTTTCGTGATGTAACGTAAACAATTGCAGAATTCCTCCACGGGATGCCATTGTCATTGTACATCACTCAACGCGAAATACACACACTCAGTACATAGCTAGACCCAATAATTTGCGGGCCAGGAGTTTGTGTGTGTGTGTGTGTGTGTGTGTGTGTGTGTGTGTGTGTGTGTGTGTGTGTGTGTGTGTGTGTGTGTGTGTGTGTGTGTGTGTGTGTGTGTGTGTGTGTGTGTGTGTGTGTGTGGTGTGTGTGTGTGGTGTGTGTGTGTGTGTGTGTGTGTGTGTGTGTGTGTGTGTGTGTGTGTGTGTGTGTGTGTGTGTGTGTGTGTGTGTGTGTGTGTGTGTGTGTGTGTGTGTGGTGTGTGTGTGTGTGTGTGTGTGTGTGTGTGTGTGTGTGGTGTGTGTGTGTGTGTGTGTGTGTGTTTGTGTGTGTGTGTGTGTGTGTGTGTCGCGCGGTTTGCTAAATGTTTTGTGTGTTTATGTTGACAAGGAGGTTTAATAACTGTGTGCTACACAAAACGTGCAGTCAGTTTCATTTTCATCGCCGTTCGTACTGTAGTAGAGTTATCAGGGTATTTTTATTTTAACTCTCGTCCCAAATTCGTCCCAAGATTATTTTTTATCCTCCCCGACCCTATTTTTTTCGGCCCCGGGACGACAGGACGTCCTTAAGCTCGAGCCCTGGCTGTGAGCTCTGAGTGCTAACAGCTAACGGCTGTGTTGTTTTTCTGGGGTTCTCATTGAAGATGACGTCACGGCTCCGCCTACACTGCGTTACTATAGATACTACCCCAGTTCCTAAACTGTAATGGAAATGCGCCATAAAGTGAGCCAGTCCTAACGAGGCCTAGCCATACCGAGCGAGGCCGTGTAGTGGAAATGCGCCATTAGACTAAGTTAACTATCTAAACACTCAGAGAGTCCTTTACCTCACCTGAGCTGTAGTTATCCCGAGCTTGAATGACACACAGAGACCAATCAAGGGCTTTGATTTATGATCTGTATGACAGTGTGGCCATGTCGGCAGGCCACATCATGTAGACAGCCAGTCACCCTGTGTGAGGCAGACTCACATTTGCGCAGCGTTGCGTTCACAATACATTAAAAAACAAGTCAAAAAATCCTCAGGCCAGCAGGCCACTTAACAGGCCAGGCCATCAGGAAACCCCCCGGTCCTCCCGATGGCCAGTCCGGGACTGGGTACAGGAGACGTAGAGCGAGGGATCATTGTCCACAAGTTAATCAATCGCAGATGGCATCGTGGTCGCGGACGAAAAAAAAAGAAGAAAAACCTAAATGTGTCGTGAAATATAACTTGGGCGGCCGTTAATATACCTGGGCGGCCCGCCCAAGTCTAGTCTATGTGTGGGAAACCCTGTAGTCTACATTTCATAAGAGGTGTAAAACCTGAGCATTTAAACGAAATGCCTATATAATCTGTAGTTGTATTTGTATTGTTGATTTAATGTGTGAACGAGGCGATGTAGAGAAGGTTAAGCTGTCATTATTAGGCTGTAATTTGTTATATACTGTTGGAGTGGTAAGCAGGCCTTTTTGTTTTGGGATATTTGTGGAGTTAGGTGGTCCGTGAGTGTTTTTTTGTATTGGTTAAGTGGTCCTTGGTATGAAAAAGTTTGAGAAACACTGGTCTAATTCATCCTGCTGTATACACTTTCTTGTTTGTTAAAGAGCTGTGTGAAGATGTTGACACAGCGATTTAAATCACTTGGTACAGAATTCCACAGTTTAACACCAACTACAGAGATACACATCTGCTGTAATGGCTATTTTAATGTTCCAATGTCCTATATCCTTTTGCCATTACTTCACAGGAAGGTTGGAGAGTGATCCAGACGCAGACACAAACAGATTAATTTCCGTTCCTTTGGTGCAGTTTATAATGTTTTATTTAGCGTTTACATACTAAGGTTTAATTACAGTCAATAGTTGTGGTGAGCATCTGCCGGGCTGGTGGAATCGGTATGCTCTCTTCCTCCTGTGTCCTCGTCCTTTCCTGTCACCTATGACCCCTTTTATACACCCGGTGCAGCTAAACCCCGCCACCAAGTGTTCAAAATAGTATTGCACTATACATATAAATAAAGTAAACTGAGACACCAACAACACCCATAAAATGGCTCCTACATCTGCCTTAAACTAGTAAAACATTTATGTAAAAATTGTTTAGTGATATTGCGAGGGAAATACAGCAGGCGGTTCATTTAAATATAAAAGACAAACTGAGCTATTTGTTCATAATTATTAGTTGTTAGTGATTGTATAATATCTATCTCTCCCTGCTTGCTGCGTGTCTCAGGTGTGGGGATGGACTGCTGTGTGATCCCTCTGAGGCATGGAGGCCTCTCCCTGGTGCAGACCACAGACTTCTTCTACCCTCTGGTGGAGGATCCTTACATGATGGTGAGTTCCCGCTCTGCCAGGTGGATTCCTCTGTGAAGCCCTCCATTAGTACCCTATGCAGGAAGTAAGGCTGTCCAAACAGAAATGTATTTGTGATGGAGAATCAGCAACAAACAGCCACACTAAACTTAATTCGGGCATGTAGTGTTTAAGAATATAAAAGAGCAAAGTTAGAGTAAAATGTACTATTCAAATAAATTATAATACACTGCTCAGTGCACTTTGCATTTGCCATGTCATATGCAAAATGTATTAAAATGAGTCATGTAGTGCCCTCATTTTAATATCATGTATCTCCTCACTGCAGTAAATATACTTTCCTACTACAGGATGATTCAGAAGGTTTCTGTGAAGTCCTGTTCATTACTAATGTGACTAATGCTTTGTGCTGCCCTCCCCTCCCTTGACATGAGGAGGACCAGTGTTGGGGCTGAGTGACCTACTCTGTGTTTCACATGTAAAACAGATTCAGCAAAAGTTAATTTACCAAATATATTGTTCTCTGAACTCTCACTTTAAATTGTGCAGTATCAATGTAAGGATTTTACATGTTGTGATTAGCTAGGTGAGAAGAAAGCACATAGGTGAGGACGATCAAATATAAAATCTTGCAAAACAATTTCCAGCCTGTTTCTGTAAATGCAGTATAGGCCTGTCACAATAATTAATTTTGTTGGACGATACATTTTCCCGGAAATTATTGCGATAAACGATAATATTGTCGGCACCGTTGTAAGACCATTTTAGACCACTGACATAATGATAATATATAATAATAATTCAAGTATATCCTTTCAAACTGAACTTTTTATTGAACATCCAACATTGCAAATGAAATGTGAAATAATATTCAAATATATAAATTATATATAATAAATAAAACAAATTAAATTATAAAAAATGTATTAAATCACACACAACCAAAACAATCAATTAAATAGACTCAGGCTGGAAAACAGAGCTCTCTCTCATATATATATATATATAGCACACATTGTCTCACAAGCAAAAAAAACCTCCTTAAAACAACATTCAAGTGTACAGTCCATTGTCCATACAAAGACCCAGATGCCTCAACAGGCCATATCCAAATCTGTATTTCAAAGATTTCGAGCAAGGAACACCAACATGTTTGCATTGCCGGGCAAATGCATCTTCAAGGTTCAAGGTTCTTTATTGTCAATCTGACACTCTTTGATTGTAAACTGTATGGAGGGTGGGGGCTCTCCATCTCCAGCTGCCGTATCTGCTCCCAGCTGGGAAACGGAATGGGATGGTTGTGTTTTAGGTGCAGTTTAAGGTTGGTCGTATTGCTAGCTTTTGTTGCTACCTTTTTAAAACAAATGCGACACACCGCCCGGCTCATTCAAGTCCGTAGGTTCGCCTCGTTGATTTGGCTTAAATCCAAAATATTCCCACACTGGAGATGTGGAATTAGGTTTTGCAACCAATTCCATTTAACTTCAAATTCCCCTCGAGTAAGTCACACGTTGTCTCCTGCTTGTCTCTATATTATTCATTTGGCTGCTACACTGCTGCACGCGGAGTTTCATGACTTGACTGTGTGTGAGCCCCGCGCCTCACGGCGTGCCTGGCCGGCAGCCACAGCGCACCTGGCTAAAATGCTGGTCATATCCTTATGTAAACAAACACGCATGTAAACGACAATTTATCGAGCTCAGAAAAGTTATCGAGTCCATTTTTATTTATCGTACGATAAGTCAATTTATTGATTATCGCGACAGGCCTAATGCAGTATTGTAGTAGTCACTCCTGCATACATACAACAGGCTACAGTCCACCTGCCACCTGACAGTGAAGGTTACTGTCTGTTATTAACAGAACTGCTCCTGTCTTAAAATGTAACTTAGTTATCCATTTAAAACCACCTTAAAGTCACATATTCCAGGTACCTGCTTATAACCAAGGTCAAGGTGAACTTTATTATCCCATATAGACACATTTATGTGGTCAAGGTGCAGAGGTACAAAAAAGTCATCATATTTTTGATATAGGTATCATAAAACAGCACTGTTTTAACTTTTAGGTGAAGTTATTTGAAGATTTGAGCGTGTTTAGCAGGCAAGAAAGGAGTAGAGAAGTACGGCACAAAGCTTCACATTTCTTTAGAAAAATCTTATTTTAATATATCTGTTCAATGTTTCATGACAGATGTTTGGAACTGGACACTTATTTGTATAACACTTCAGTCTCTCTCTGTTTAAACAAACATAATTATAAAAGATAGCATTAGCAAATCATGATGTCATAGAAGAGCTTTGTTTGAGTTTTTATTTTAACCGAGCAACGTTGTTTTTTTAAAAAGCAGACTTTTCATTATGTAAGGGATTACTTCTGAGATGTGTATATATCCCATATCCTTAATTCCCACTCACATGGGGGGGGCAGGGTCACTGAGGATGCTCAGCTGACCTCTGCATGCTGACACTGATCATGCGCTGCCTGCAACACGTCTTCATATCAGTTGATCTTGTTATCTACATGCAGAAAATGCCAGAGCACAGCGTGCTCTGAAGCACAGCCTGCTCTGAAGCACAGCCTGCCCTGAAGCACAGCCTGCCAGGTGGAACGTGGTCAGAAGCACACTGATGGACCTCCAGCTGGCCATCAGTCTCTGTCCCTCAGTATCAGCAAGTTTCAACTCTTTCAGTCAGATTACTGTTAACCATGGTGTCATCGACAATTCTTCCACATTTCCATTCTATTAGTCTTATCAACCTAACGGCCCCTACACACAGCGGCGTGCGTTGACGCTTGGCGGTGGGCGTGTCTTGAGCTTGGGGAGTTTACGCGAGCAACGCGACCAACAACCAATCACATGAATCTCTCCTGTCAATTGCATAAAAGGTTTTACATGTCACACTTTATATGATGAACATTTATGACATTAATGTCTATGGTGCTATTTTACACAACATTCCATGCTGGCTATATACTGTCTATGCTTGCTAGCTGTCCATTCAAACGAAGTACACTGGATATAATCTCCCCAAACAGGCGAAAACCTACCAGTTTCACCCACTGTCTCTGCCACCTCCCTCCATGCCTGGCTCCTCCGGTTTATATCCCGGTAGGTAAAGAGGGACTGGTCGTATAGCACCTGGTGATTCCCTACCGCCACGATTATTTTCTCCTCCATTTTTTGACATATGAGGAAATGAACTGCGGTCTGGCTCTCCCAACATACACGCGGTTTGATTGGCTAGCGCTTGTACTGGCAGATTTGCATACGCGTGATTTGATTGGCCGACGCCTCCGTCGAAGCTTCAAAAGTAGAACATTGCTCTACTTTTGCAATGCAAAGCTACGCTTTGCTCCCACAATGCAGTTCGGCGAAGCGTGACGTCACCCCATTCAAAGTGAATGGGCAGAAGCGTTGAAGCGGCAACGCACGCCGCCGTGTGTAGGCGGCGTAAAGGAAATGGTCGGAGCAATGGTCCACACAGAAAGAGGAATTAGGTTGTAAGAAAATGTTGATTTGAACAAAGATCAAAAATAAATAGAAATGTTTAAAAGGTATATAAATCTACAGCAAGATTATGACAAAATACCATGAAAAATTAAATGTTTGCAGTTTACCAGAATTTTAAGTGGAAGATCTGTACATTTTAATCTAGAGGTAATGTTGAATAAAAATATGCAAAATATAAAGTAGAATGTGCATGGTCCACAGTGTTTTGTAAGAGGAGTGGCTCACATGATGTGTGTTTCAAAAGCCAAAAACAATAAAACACCGTAATAATTTCCTCCGTCTAGAAATCAAATCAGTTTTTCTGTTTTTGTTCTTTAATGAAATAATTTAATAAATGGATGATAAGCAGACTTTCAACCTAAAGCTCCTTTTCATGTTTGATTTTGTTATGAATATTAAAAAGTTACAAAGGTAGCCACTGTGGGGGAAACTTCTGTGTAGCAATGCAGTGGGAGTCACCGACTCAGGAAGGAGACACGGGATGAGCAGGAGCTTTGATGTCAAACACTGATGGTTTATTTAGGAGCTTCGGCCGGAGAATTCACATCACAAGTCACACAGTCAGAGGGTCTGACTTCACGGGAGAGTTGCCACGTCAATTCTGAAGCGCCTCTCTCTTGCTAGACCTTTTAACTGGTTCACAGAGAGTAATCAACATATTTGAGGAGATAGACTCAACAGCCGGGAACACTGAATTACTTGCGTCTGACACTTATGGCCTCGAAGATTACACACCTTGGAGTCCACAAACACAGAGAAGGAAGTGTTCCAGCGTTCTCACAACAATAACCATCTGTGACCGAGAGTTGCCCCGGTCATAAACTGGTAACAACAACGTATGGCTGAAGCAGCCCCTTTCCTTAAAGGAGATAACAGACGTCAGGGTTGGTCATAAACGTCAAAGGGCAAAAAGGTTAGATATCTAGGATTCCAGGAGAATTATTCCCTAACAGCCACTATCCATTTTGAAGCTGAATGATTCAGATTGTCATTGTTAAAAATCATCAGTTTTAGCAGCAGATTGATGTTGGAGAACTTTTTACACCACAACCATTGACCTATATCATGTTTTATATTTTGACTATATATTTTGTCTTTCTGTCTGTCTCTCAGGGCAGGATAGCGTGTGCTAACGTCCTCAGTGATCTCTACGCCATGGGCATCACAGAGTGTGACAACATGCTGATGCTGCTGAGTGTCAGCCAGAAGATGAATGAAAAGGTGAGGGATCCTGTGTGGATGTCAAGGTGTTATTATTGTCACGTTTCCTCCGATCTACATATTAGTGCCACATACCTTTTAACAAAGCTTTGGCTTGTTGCTGTTGAACTCTTCAGGGTTATAAAGCCTCCTTGCATGACTCCTTATTTTGTGTGTGTGTGTGTCACAGGACCGTGAGCGTGTGATGCCGATCATGATTCAAGGCTTCCGTGATGCAGCAGAGGAGGGGGGCACTTCTGTGACAGGCGGTCAGACTGTGATCAACCCCTGGATCATCGTGGGGGGGGTCGCATCAGTCGTCTGCCAGCCTAACGAGTTCATCATGTGAGTTCCTGAGACTGTTGTGGCTTTCACACCAGCGCTTTTCCCGTTCTAGCTCCGTGCTAGAGCTTTTCTGGTTCAGCTCCGGTTTCCCTTTTCTGCTCCCATTTTGTTCACACTGCCCAGAGCCCGACTGGTGCTGCCGCTGCTGCGTCATGACGTCACCGTTTACATCGCTGATTTGCTCCCCAACGGAGTTACGGCGCTCACTACAACAACAACAACAACGGGGGACTGCGTCGGGTCGATGATCGTGTTGCTTTTAATCATACGAAGTCAGATTTAAATTAAATAACGACTTCTCCAACCTTATACTTTTCTCCAGAGTGCCGTGGTTCATTGTTTATTAATGTGTTTCAGCGGCATTTACCGACCGCTGCAGTGCTGGCTGCTCTTCCACGAGTGTATGCTCCGGGTTAGCTCACACGGCTCTAAAGTATTCACTGTCTGACTGTCACACAAGCAGCTGATACATATCCCCAGTTCCCCTTAAGTGAATGTGTGTCAGTCTGAATTGACGCTGTTTGGCATCACAACGCTGTTATGAAAGTTTCTCTGGTATAACATGGGTGATGTTAGCATAGCAACCGAAGCTAAACTGACTACTTGCTAAGCCGTTTTCTACAGGCACATTTTACCGGCGTATTTTTCATTATGATTCTACTTGTGATAGTCGGACATGACAACCTGTGCAGCCCATGTATTGATTCCATCTGATAGCTGCTATAATAACAAACAAAACGTCTGCCTGCTCTCCACAATGATCAATAACAGCGAACGGATGGTCAAAGTAAGGTACAAATAAACAGAATCACACGAAGCCTGGTTAGTGTTGCCTGACTTTATAAAGTGTGGGTTTTTTTATAAGTGTGTGGTTGCCTTCTAGTCACTTTGCTCAGCGCTACTGCTTGTAGGCAGAGAGACGTAAGCGGCGCCCCGCCTCTTAGCTCCGGAATCTTGCTTCTTGACCATCAATTTTTTGGAGCTGGATGTGAACCGGATTCCGGAGCTAAGAGGCGGCGCCGCTGCGGTGTGAAGAGGAAAAACCGGTACTTTTCAGGCTCTAGCTCCGAGCCGGCCCTGAAAACGCATTGGTGTGAAAGGGGCATGTGTCTCTGCCTCGTTGATAACTGAGCTTTTTGTCTGTGAATTAAAACAAGTTATTTCCTTCAATAACTTTTTTAAAATCAAACTCTTTACATTTTGGGTTGGACAAGTATTTATAGCCCGCTAAGGGTCTTATTGGTTAACCTGTTAAACCGGCGGGGGCTATGGGCTTTTTTTTCACGGAACTGTGTCTCAGGGCTTCTTAACATTTAACAACCTATTAATGTGTCATACCCACTTAACGGGAAGAAACTCAGCTAACAGACGATATGAACCATTTCTAGCTAAACGAAACACAAGGGTCATACCAAGCCTCTGAATTAGCGAAAAAAATGCTAACGCACTTAGCACAGAACTCACGGTAGAAATACTTTATTACTTATCGGATCTGCACAAACAAGATATCAGATTAAAGCTGAGATTCCAGATTCTAGATGTATAAGTATCATCACTGAGCGATCATAACTCAGGGCAGCGAAGGCAAACCCAGACAACACACAACGTAGCTTTATGGAGCCAAAACTGTTTTTCTGGTCAAAAGTTGTGTTCAATGGCATTGTGGGGATGTTGGTTATTTTCTCCATCTAGGAGGACACCAAAAGCCTCCCAGACGTTGGATTTCGCTCTTGAGGAAGTGTTATTGAAAATGCTGTATTCTCCGCTAGAGAGCTTCACCTCAGCGCTCAGCATCAGATTGATGCGCTGCAGAGGTTATGATTATGCGCGGTCCCGCGGGGGAGAGGTCTGAGGATTCAAACATTAAACTAAATTATTATTATTTTAATATATTTATTATGCAACACCCGCGACCCGACCCGCATCATCTTTGTTTTACCCAGAACCGAACCCGAAAAAAAGCGTTTGAAAAAATACCACCCGCGAATCACGGGTCGGGTACCCGACCCGATGCAGGACTCTAGTGTGTGTTGCTGCTAACTTTTTAGCTGTGGATGAGTACTTATTTGTCTTTATTTATTTTTTCCTAATGTGTGCTTTGTCTCTATATTTAACACGTTAGCTACTTTTTTATCTACTATGTCACTTTTGCTGTAACGCTTTATATTTCCCCGCTGCGGGTCTAATACAATAACTCTAATTCTGATTCAGGCCGGACGGGGCGGTCCCGGGGGACGTCCTGGTGCTGACCAAGCCTCTGGGGACGCAGGTGGCTGTGAACGCTCACCAGTGGCTGGATCAGGTCCGAACACTGAGCATCATGTGCAGCATCACATCCCCATGTTTCTGAGCTCTCCTCACATCCTGCTTCTTTTATCTCTGCAGCCTGAAAGGTGGAACAAGATCAAGCTGGTCGTCAACAAAGAGGAAGTAAAGGAGGCCTATCAGGAAGCCATGTTCTCCATGGCAACGCTTAACCGCACAGGTACGCACACCTGTGTTGTTATTATCTGTAGTAAAATCATTCACCCTTTCACTTTCAGCTGATAGATTATATGATGACTGGTTCTATGTGCTTCCACACTGATTATCTAAATCAGGGATGGGCAAATGGCACCTCCTCTTTTTGCGGCCCTCAGATTAATTTATAACAGGGTGTCCGCGGGGTCTTAAAAAGTATTAAAAGGTATTAAACGGCATTTTACAAGGTATTAATAAGGTCCACAGCAACAACAACATGAAACACCCTTTAATTTACTGCAACGACATGTCGGGAAACCCCCTCAAGGCGGCCCCATGCATAGCGCGCTGTAAAATGCTGCTTCTTATTTTAAGTTTCGTTGCCTTGCTCCGCTCTTGTCCGGTCCCACATGCTATAAGTGCTAGCCAGAAAGTCGCGGCGTTTAAGTCCCGACTCTCCCGATGGCCAATCCATGCCTCCCCTGACTGCACATTGCTGACACACACTGCTGCAGTACAGACTCTCTGCACGGAGCAGCAGCGGAGTCCGAGCGATGCTGCTCCTTCAAGGAAGAGACACACGTTCACTAAGCAAAAAAAAAACTATATCCGGTCACAGAGACCTGCTATTTTAAAGTAAAGTCAACACATATCAACCCTAAATATAGTCTATATTAAGAACGAGAAAAGTCTTAACATATATCATTTTTTGTAAACATATGACAAATGTGCGAGGGTGATGACGTCAGAGCATCGTCCTATGTGCCGGGGCCCCGGACAGCCCCGGCCCAATTTAACCCCTGGGTATTTGTGAGGGAGCTCCTATATGGCATTACCCCGCTGAAGCTCACCAAAGTTTAATATATTTCATAGTTCAAAGTTTTGTCAAATGTTTTGTTTATTGGTCAAATACTGGTTTCTAATGGTTTCTGAGTTTTACTGGAATGAAAGAGCACAAAGTGTGTCTACAGAAGCAACAAAGCAGCATACTGCATTAAACCTGACCTTGACAGAGAGGTTGAAGTTCATGTGGAGAGGAGGCTTCAGTAGTCTGTCTGTTTTATCTCTTGGGAACAATGCCTAAATCAAATACTACTTTCTAATGGTTTCTTTTTCTAATAAACCTTGCATTGGGTTGGTCACACAATTCATTCTCTTGTGCTTTGTTCTATCTGAATTATGATAAGGAGTTATCACAAACTGTTTAGTTGTGCTATCTTACAATAGGCGCTGAGGAACAGCAGAGTGCGAGTTGACAGGTGTCTGTGTTGACATTCCCCTTATTGTGGAATAATGGGAATGCAGAGACAGGCTACAAGTGTCTTAGGTTCAAGTTAGACAACTAATGTCTGGGTTAGTGTACATGACTTCATGTTTCTGTCATCTTAATGTTTAATCTCAATGCACACACATTTTCCGTGCTTTCCAATAGTTTAAAATAGTTTTATTCCACTGTTAAATAACCTGTTCAATACAAACATGCCACTTGTACAAATTATTAACATTTCTGTGAAGTGATATTTGTTTAGTGAGCTTATTAGAGGATGTTCCCTGAAAGATTGTAAAATGTCAATGAAGATGTCAGACTTAATTTGTTAATAATTACATACAATACATGGAATTTGTGTGTGTGTTCCAAGTGAATCTGCGGCCCCCTGGTGGCCAGTACATACATTATGTGGCCCCCACCACCATCCGAGTTGCCCATCCCTGATCTAAATGTACTCCATTGCGGCATATTGGAGACATTTTCTTTTTGAAAATGGACATGATGAACAAGATGTGCTTCGATGAAAATTGCTCTTAAATGCCGTCATATATTTATTTAGTTGTGAAGGGGGAACAAAGAGAATTTGGCTGAACATGCATCAGACTACTGGTTGTAGTTCCAGTTGATGTTAAATTCTTCTTGTGATTCTCTGTATTTTGATCAAAGTTGTTTTGGTATTTTCAGCGGCAGGTCTAATGCACAAGTTCCAGGCTCACGCTGCCACAGATGTGACCGGTTTCGGGCTGTTGGGACACGCCAACAACCTGGCAGCACAGCAACGCAACGAGGTGGCCTTCGTCATCCACAACCTACCTATCCTAGCCAAGATGGCTGCCATCAGTAAAGCCTGTGGAAACCTGTTCAACCTGGTGCAGGGCACGTCAGCAGAGACTTCTGGTATGAAATGAGACAGCATAGTATACAGCTCCTTAATTGTGAATATTATTGGTACTTTTCTACTACATTAAACTGAATATGCTTCTAGCTATACAATTGGGGACGTCATCTTGGGATTTAGGAAACACAGATCATATTTTTTATTTTTTTTTACCATTTTCTTACATTTTAAAGAATACTCAACTAATGGATTTATCGAGAAGGAAAGAGTTGTACAGGAATGAGGCCTTTTTAGCCTTTTGGACGTGTTTTTTGTTAAATGCTGTGGTTTACACAAGCTGAAGAGATTTTTAACGTTTTGTTCTACGATATGAAACACATTAGTAAATACCCCACTCCTGATGTCCAAAGCTTCTGCGTGGCAAAACTAGACTACTAAATACCTTCACACTAAAAATGAGCTACCTTTAGCTTAGTGTTGGTGATGTGCAGCCATTAGGTTTATCGCTTTGTAGTTTTTGACTTCTGACGATTATAGTTAGGCTTAAAAAATTCACAGTGGTATTAAATATGTGGAGATTATACTGCTGAACAAAATGTGTGTTTGTCACAGATCTTATTTTCTGCTAAATTCAATGAAAAAAAAACCTTGTGATGCTCACTTCTTCGACTTACAATAAAAACGTTGTCACTGCACATCTCTATGAAATGGTATTAAGCTGCTGCCCTTCCTAAACTCCCTCTCCCTCTCCTCCCCCAGGCGGGCTGTTGGTGTGTTTGCCAAGAGAGCAAGCAGCCAAGTTTTGCTCTGAGATGAAGAGCCAGAGCTCTGGAGCTGGAGGTCAGGGGGCGCCCGGTGGAGCGTGGATCATCGGAATTGTAGAAAAAGGCGACCGCCGCGCTCGCATTATTGACAAGCCCCGCATCATTGAGGTCCCACCGCGAGGAAGCCAGGCAGCCACTCAGGAGAACCACTCCAGCAGCCCCGCCCCCAGCCCCAACTTGTCATAGTGTGTGTGTGTGTGTGTGTGTGTGTGTGTGTGTGTGTGTGTGTGTGTGTGTGTGTGTGTGTGTGTGTGTGTGTGTGTGTGTGTGTGTGTGTGTGTGTGTGTGTGTGTGTGTGTGTGTGTGTGTGTGTGTGTGTCCCCTTTTTTAGTCAAAGTGCTGAGTCATCATTTGGAGCGGGAGAGGGAATGGACAGCACACAATAATTTATCCATCTTTGGAAAAAGATGCTGAAATGAGGCCTTCCTTTCACCGTGTTGGAATGAAATGTGAATCATGATCTGCCTACCCTAATCCATACACATTTGTATAGTACATCTTAATGCAAAAACGAAATTCTTAAGAGAAAACATTCCAAATCATTGTGGCCAGTTAATCATGCAAATTGAGTGTAAATGTGTGTGTTTGATATTTAATCATTTGACTGGGGTGTTTTGCTGTGGGGAAGTTGATCAGGACTTTTCTTTTGAAGGTGGATGTTGTAATTGTTGGTTGATGTTGCTAAATGTGTAATGTGGAGAAGAATGGCACCTGGCTCTGCCCTCAGGGCCACAGGAAGGCTTGAGCAGCTTCCTTTGGACCAGCGGGGGGGCGTTCAGAATGTCTGTCTGTCAGCTGATTGGCAGTCCAGCACCAAGTCCCTCCCACCCTTCCTTTTTATGAAGCTCTGCCTTTAAACCCCTGTCGATGGGGGCAGGTGGAGTGGATGTTTGCCTTTGGATTGGGGTCGGACTTAGACTGCTGGAGGTCTTAAGCTGTCCATGTTTCTAGATTTCCTGTTTTCACAATCAATAAAAGCAACATCAACATACTGAGCTGCTGTCTGAGTGTCATGTGAGCTAGATATAAACGATGAAATAGGCACCAACAATATTGGGAGAAAGGAAAGGCCAATATATTAAAATAAAATAAATGTCATCTTTCATTTGCCGAGCAAATGTATACAAATCTTTGCATTTCATGTCTGCATCTGTAAATTGAATATAATGATAAACCTAGGCATAATGATATGATTATTCCACTACAGAAGCAACTTAATGTTTTCTTCAGGAAGGAAATATCAGTATCAGCGAATAGTGAATATGAGTTACAAAATCTAATATTGTGCATCCCTGATGTGAGAATGAGCTCACATCAAGTTTATAAGCGTAATCTCAAATGGTAAAGAGTCTAAATAAATATACATACCTTAACATAATGCATACCATATCTGTTTCACAGCACACAGTAGGAAACACCTTTCTTTATAGGTGCAACTTCACTAGATACCAAAGCAAATTCCTTGCTTGGTTCTGATTAAAATGTCTTATACTTACGTTTAATTTCTAATATTTATTTAAGTTGACCTGTTAGGTTTTTCTATTAGATGTGTGTTTTATGCTATGACTACATGACTACTAACAAGTAACACAAATGTAATAAATAAAAAACGTGTTCTTCTAATGATGCATAAACATGCCCACTCTACGCCGACCAGCAGAGGGCAGCATATCACAAAGGTAACATAAACTAACAGCAGAAGAAGAAATGCGGAAGTGCGAACGGTGTAAACAATCGAGTCATGGAAATAGGAATGAAGCCCCCAATTTAAAGTATTAAATGTCTTTAAAAGTAACATTTCTTCTGATTAAGAATAGTGTAATGTCGCAGGTGATATTTTAAATTAACACAGTGTGGGCTGCTGCGTGTGTCCGCCATGCCGTATCTGGGCAGTGAGGACACGGAGCGGGAGCTGAGGAGGGCTCTGTGTAACCCCCACATCCAGTCCGACCCGCTGCGATACCGGAACACCGTGCTCAAGGTCCTCCGGTAGGTGACGGTCCTCAGCGCTTTGTGACCGGTTCTTGTATAAGGGTTCCCCGCAGAAAATATCCTGTTGAACCCGTCTGACACTGGGGCCCGTTTGTATTCTGGTGGCGGTCTACTCTAGCCGTTACGGTAGCGGTTATTGGAACAGGCAACAAGAAAGAAACAACCATGTTTTCAGCAAAACTGTCTGACATCTGACATGCATGTTGTTCATATGACCAGCAATATTATCACGTCATACATATATATTCAATCTCTTTATTCAATTAGATTTGTTTTAATTTACATATTCACCATAATGGTACAGAGAAAACACTATTACTTTCAATAAAAAATATATATTGAAATTGTCATAAATAAACTTCAATATTCTAAAATAATAAATGAAAAGGATACGTTATTCTTTGAAGAATTCACCTTAATTCACAGACACATCCTTTTCAATTGTGTTAACTTTTGTATCATTATACTTATATTTGTAAAACATACTATATATATTATCAATAATAAATAAAATGTAATAATAATACTCAAAATGTACAATGACATTTTTTACATTACATTTTGACACTGATTTGTTTTACACAAACTATAATCTTTAATTCCAGTCCAAATTACAAATCATAATCGTTTTTTTAGAATTGCAATGAATTTCTACTCCAAATGTTTCTGACTTTGAATCTTGAAGAAGTTTCAATGTACATATAATTACTGCATAACACATGGTCACATATTGAAAATGTCCTCATATTTGACCTGCCACACATTCCTTTAAGAGGTTGGCCAACCTTTTCAATTTTATTTTTTATTTAGCCTTTATTTATACAGGTTTAAAATCTCATTGAGACACAAGGTCTCATTTCCAAGAGAGACCTGTCAGTGGTAACACTACCACACAAAGTTACAGACAGACAGGACACTAAACACAGAGGCAACAATAAAATACAACATCGTAAAAAAAGTAGTCATTGAAATCCATACAGTAGTCAGGTAAAGCAGGTGCAAACACCCACAGATGATTTCTCCAGCTTTTTTAAAATGAGTTTAAAATCCGTGATGGGTATCAAACTGGTCAGCTTAAGTTCCTGCTGAAGTGTGTTCCAGGTCGAGGGGGCAGAGTATGATATGGCTTTTTTCCCAAGCACCGTGCGAACTGAGGGGACGGACAGAGTGATGTAATGTTGAGATCGTAGGCTATAGCTGTACTGTTTGTGTGATATGTAAGTGGATATGTAGAGGGGCAGCAGTCCAAGCATAGCGGTATAGATGAGTTTGTACCAGTGCAGTGATCTGCGCATTGATAATGATGTCCAGTTGACTAAAGAGTACAGCGTGCAATGGTGTGTGAGGGGTTTACAGTTGGTTATGAACCTCAGAGCCCCATGGTAGACAGCGTCCAGCAGATGAAGGGAGTGAGCTGAGGCGTTCATGTACACAACATCCCCGTAGTCCAAGAGCGGCAAAAATGTGGCAGCTACAAGCCGTTTCCTCGCACTTGTGGAGAAGCAGGCCTTATTTCTAAAAAAGAATCCCAGTTTTAATTTCAATTTCCTTAAGAGATTGTCAATATGTGGTTTGAAGCAGAGATTTTCATCTATAGTGATGCCTAAGTATCTGTAGGTGTTAACAGCTTCAATGGGGTTATGCTGTGCAGACATGATGCAGGGAAGAACAGTTGGTAACCTTTTCTTATTGGAAAACAACATGACTTTTGTCTTATTTGAGTTTAACACCAACCTAAGGTGGAACAGATGTGACTGAAAAGTGTCAAAAGCAGACTGCAGACGTTCAAATGCAAGGGCAACAGTGCTTGCACAACAGTACACAACAGTATCATCTGCATATAGATGTACAGAGGCATCAATGCTTTTACCCACATCATTTATATAAATAGTAAAAAGGGTCGGTCCCAAGACCGAACCATGAGGAACACCTCTGGGCACATTAAGAAAGCTTGAGGAGAGACCGCTGAATTTTACACATTGCTTGCGATTCGAAAGGTAGTTTTCAAACCATCAATGAAATCCTGACTATTTATGTAGACCTTGACTATCAACATGTGAGGTTATTTACTGAACAGGTTTGGAGGAAAATCATGGCCAACTTCCCTTTACGGTTAACAATACAAACGCTATACAACTTTAAAGGGTACATGGTCATAGTCAAGTCCAGCTTCAAAAGGATTCCATTGAGGTTTTTCGATAACCTTATAAACATTTATATGAGCTTAATAAACATTATAGGTGCTATAACATACAGTATTGTTGTTTTATTTCACATTGTCAAACTGTTGCTAAGTTATTTAAGGTGTTTGATATTCCCTTTAGTTTCCTCCAAAACCTGTAAGATAAAAGTCAAAGTGTGTTGTTTAAAAAATTGTAGAAATGTGAGGAAATTGTTTAATTAATGTTTTTTATATTCTGTCCCCTGGTGTCTTTCTTTTAAAGACTCCAATATCACACTGTAAACTTGTTTGTTTACAGACTCCCTAACTGTTGTCCTCGGAATCAGAATTCCTTTACATGGCTAACTTTCCGTTATTACAACAGCAGAAGTACAGTGCAGATAAAGTAAAGAGAATAGCCTTGCATATAAAACAAATCTTATTTGGCACACATTATTAATAATAAAAGCACAATAAGTCAAACAAATAACAAAGTACACCATGGTGAAAAAGTAACAGTATATCAAAGTAGTAGCTGCTACTGTTTACAGATTGTAAGTAAATTGAAAGAAAAATAAAGGGTAAATTGCACATCAGGTGTATTACAGTCTGTGTGTGTGTGGTGATCTACCAGGTGCCGTGGTGGTTGTAGAGCCTGACTGCTGCAGGAAGGAAGAACCTGGAAGTAAGGGTCACTGCCTCTTATTATATTTTAACATCTCTCTCCCCCTCTCGCTCCCTCCCCCCTCAGGGCGATGTCTCAGGGTGTGGATGTGTCCGGCCTGTTCAGTGAGATGGTGAAAGCGTGTGCCACAGCGGACATCGTCCAGAAGAAACTGGTCTACGTGTTCCTGTGTTCCTACGCCGCTCTGAACCCCGAGCTGTCTCTGCTGGTCATCAACACGCTGAGGAAGGACTGCCAGGACCCCAACCCCATGGTGCGCAGCCTGGCCCTCAGGAACATGACCAACCTCCGGTGAGCTGCTGCACACAGGGACCGCAAACCCTCTCACGGGCTGCAGGACTGACGTGTGTGTGTGTGTGTGTGTGTGTGTGTGTGTGTGTGTGTGTGTGTGTGTGTGTGTGTGTGTGTGTGTGTGTGTGTGTGTGTGTGTGTGTGTGTGTGTGTGTGTGTGTGTGTGTGTGTGTGTGTGTGTGTGTGTGTGTGTGTGTGTGTGTGTGTGTGTGTGTGTGTGTGTGTGTGTGTGTGTGTGTGTGTGCGCGCGCGCGCCCAGGTTGCCCAGTCTGGTGGAGTATGTGGAGCAGCCTCTGACTGCAGGCCTGAGGGACAGAGCGGCCTGTGTTCGACGCGTGGCTGTCCTCGGCTGGGCCAAAATACACAACCTCCAACCCAACTCTGAGACAGGTGGGGGGGGACTCTTTCTTTCTTTCTTTCCTTCCTTTTAAACAGTATAGCAAGACAGAATAATGTCACAACAGTCAATGGCGGAGCCAGGACATTTTCAGTGGGGTGGCCAGGATGGAACCAGTGATCATTTTGGGGTGGCATTGAAATCACTATTATATGAACATAAAAATACATCTCACTAGAAAATAAGGGGTTATTTAAGGCACCTACAACACACCTCTACATTATTTGGGATTAAGCTAGTGGTGGAATAGATCAAATAATATTCAGTATATCTCTAACTATTTTTTTCTTATTCCCACAGGCAAAGTAACAACGAAGCTTACATTATACAAATGTAATGCAATATACAGACTGTTTAGCAGCTTATGGTGATCAGCAGCACTATGAGCTCATTCTCTCAGTGTATCATCAGGAATACAGAGACAGACACACATCATTTAAAGTGGACCTATCATGCTATATTTAAATGATATATTGTAGGGCCATACCTATATAAGGTATATTTATACATTTCTGTTTTCAAAATACCAAACAGATCATGCATTTTAGCCATGCCTCATTTCGCTCTATGTGCTGTTTGCTGTCTACGGGTCTGATTCTGCTGACCACGCCCCCCTGCAGGAGAGGGGAGACGTGCTCTGATCAGCTGCTGGGCTGTCAGAAGAGGGGGAGAAAAAGAGATCTCCGTCCTCCGTGTTTTATTATATAGAGTCGTTATTCATTTGTTTTAAAGCTCAATAAATCACAAAGAAGACCTTTGACCGGCACTTTTCTAATTTTGTCCGGAAGATTTAAACTTTAACGGACATCTTGACCGGCGAAACAAACTGAAACTGAAACTCTGCCGCACGGTCCCCTCGTTCCTTGGAAGAGGTGGAGAGGTGGGTGTTTGTCATCTGCTGGTGGACTAACCGGAGAGAATTACAGTGCTTGCCTCGACGGGGAGGGATTGCATTGCAGCGGGAGCAAACGGGTAACCATGGTAACTATGGGCGGGAAGTCTTCTTCGCTGCTTTTGTGGCAGACTACAGCGCCACTTACAGGCCTGGCATATGTACTACAGCGTCTCCAGCGCTTTCGAGGGGCAATGGCCAGCCGTGGCCCAACCCCACATTCCCCTGATAGGTGGAGAGTTGGCCCAATAGCCGTAGCGCCACCGTCCTGACGTCAGTAACGTGTTCAAATCTGGATCTGTTTTTATCAGATCCGTTGCAGCCCCTTTTTTAGAGATTTGGGTATGGAGGAAAATAGAGAGGGCTGTGTTTTCTGACACTTGGTGAGTTCCCTGGAACACCGGGGACACATATTCATGTATAAAAGACGTACAAAAGTGCATTTTGCATGATAGGTCCCCTTTAAATAAGAGTTTTTAAATTAAATTATTGGTTAAGAATAAACATCTTAGTAAATAACAATAAACAATAGGGTTACAATAAACAATAGCCCTTAACCCTGTAGAACCCCCGGTTGTAATTTTACAACATTACTTTAAGCTATCCAAAAAAGTCAGTAAATGTTTTTGTTTTTTTAAACGACTACATAGTCAAAAGGTCCTTTTGTTCAACCTCACAATGCTATTGGGTAGTAAATGTGTTTATAGGTCCTGCCCTCTGGCCATACATATAAGACTAACATTCCTGACAAAAGATCTCAATAGTCATCTTTTATGTGTAAATGCCTTTTTAATAATAACATTTTTGAATGGAACATTCTCAACATGAATGCATAAATCCAAATAAATATAACTTAAATATGTGGAAAAATACTGTGTTTGAAATGTATAATTGAAATGAGATGTTAGCTTTTTGTTTTGATATATATATATATTGTATTCCAGTCTCCCTTCAGATATGTTCAGTGGCATGTAATTCAACACAATGCTGCTCACCTCCTTCAGTTGGGAGAAAAGCTGGTTCAGGTTCAGCATTATGGGGGGACAGGGCTGCTGAGCCTAGAGATGGATCTGTTGGTCCTGGCACCAGGGGGAGGGACAACTGATTTAGTATGAATAGCTGCTAAAAATCTACCTGCATTTGTTAAATGTCAGCTAAAAGAGCAGTGCAATTTAAAAACCTCTGCATTTTCTTTATAAATATTAACAGTACTTAATGTCAGCTTAATAAAAAAAACAACATAACAATTATTATTTACAATGGACTACGCTTAGATAACAGACTAATTTCCACCACTCATGGACCCCACCCACCTTTTCTCTTGAAATACTGGGTGACATACTGTCGCCCTTTAGTCCCTCTCTCTCGTCTTTCTCTCCTTTCTTTTCTTTTTGAAAGCCTAACTTTGTGAGTCGTTGAGACATGGCACACACGTAAGTGCTAGCATCCCTGCTCACATGCTCTCACTCTCTGCTAGAAAGTGCCGGAGGCGGAGGCGGGACCAAACCATTACATGTAAATAGAAGGGGGTGTACAGAGGCTTTGGATAATTAACTTTTGGAAGAAAATAAGTTAAATGAATTGTAAGTTTAGTGAGTACATTATCAATATAACGTTATATTAATGTTAATTATTGATGAATGATGAAAGGTTACTTAAACATTTTTTTCTTAATGTTCTAAAATTGTTTGGGCCCCCGTGGTGAGGGTCTTTGGGGTGGCCAATAGGGTGGCCAGGATTCAGCTGGGGGTGGCCACGGCCACGCCAGCTGCCTCTGACTTGTCGGTTAGTAGCCAGCAGGGCTCGCTGCAGAAGCCTGCTGTTTTTAACCTATCGGTTAATAAACTGCAGAGCTCGCGGCATTCCTCTGTCCCAGATATGCCTCCCACACACGGTCATAATAAACCCACGAGCGCCGTTATAACGCCTCATGTGGAGGGCCGGAGTGAAACACAGCGTGTGGAGGCTCCCTCGCAGCCCTTTCGGTCCAGGCCCACCTTGGGTTTCCTCACGGGCAGCGGCGGCGAGGGCTCTGGCGTGGCTCGTCACCATGACGACCACAGCACATCACGAGCATGTACGCCCACTCTCAGAGTATTTCTCAGAGTGGCAGCGCGTGTGTCTGATGGACAGATGGATGAGCAGGCTGATCAGCAGAGGGTACACTCTGCAGTTCGCCTCTCGCCCCCCCCCGCAGTTCAATGGGGTACAGGAAACACTCCTGTCATCCCAGGAACAGTGTATTGCGCTCCATTCAGAGCTGCAGGAACTCCTGTTGAAAAATACTATTTCCAGGGTTCCTCAAAGGGAGGAAAATCAGGGGTTTTTACTCCCGTTATTTTCTAATCCCGAAAAAGAACGGGGGAATGAGACCCATCCTCGATCTGTCAGTATTCCACATGCTGACGATCAAACAGGTGCTGGAATGTATTCACCAGGACGACTGGTTCATTTCCATAGACCTGAAGGATGCATACTTCCACGTACCCATCATCCCGAAACACAGGAAATTCCTGCGTTTCTCATTTCAGGGAATATCAGACCAGACAATCGTCTGCCGTTCGGATATTCCCTGGCTCCTTGCATTTTTTCAAAGTATGTAGAGAAGGCTCTGGAGCCGCTACACAGAGGAGGGATGAGAGTGTGGTTTTATCTGGACGACCTGCTATTGCTGGCTCGCTCCAGGGAGGAAGTCGCTTTACAGACGGTACATCTCGTATCGCATCTGTCAAGCCTGCGTTTCATAATAAATTGGAAGAAGAGCTGTCCTCTTCCCTCTCAGACAATCATTTATCTGGGAGTGGAATTAAACTCAGCCAGCATGAGAGCGCGGCTCTCGCGGCAGAGAGTGGAGAAACTGACAGCTCTCCTCCGGCGTGTCACACCCCGCAGCGTGGTGACAGCCCTCTCCGTGATGCAGCTGCTCGGCATGGCGTCAGCTGGTCACAAGGTGATCCCCCTGGGTCTCCTCCACAGGGGGAAGACTCCAGAGGTGGTTCATTCGCTGCAGAAGCCTGCTGTTTTTAATCTATCGGTTAATAAACTGCAGAGCTCGCTAACTAAGCTGTCTACTAACCTGTCGGTTAGTAGACAGCAGGGCTCGCTGCAGAAGCCTGCTGTGCTGTTCTGTCCCAGATATGCCTCCTACGCACGGTCATAATAAACCCACGAGCGCCGTTATAACGCCTCATGTGGACAGCACAGCACACACCACCACTTATTCCCTGAGCGTGTGCGCGCCTCATGATGAGAGCCGGAGTGAAATGCAGCGTGTGGAGGCTCCCTCGCAGCCCTTTCGCCTCACGGGCAGCGGCAGCGAGGGCAATGGCGTGGCTCGTCACCATGACGACCACTACAGCACATCTTGCATAGCTTGCTATGTTACGCGCACGGCTGTTTGCGCCGTTCCCAGCGCCTGTTTGTGCATTACAGAGAGCGCTCACTAGGGCTGCCTCTGTCTGCACAACGCCTGTCACACTGGCTGTGTGAGGCTGTGTCACAGGCGTATGTCCCCCGGAGAACATCAGAGCGCACTCCACTAGAGGAATTTCATTCTCTACGGCAGTGCTTCTCAAACTTTTTTCAGTAATGTACCCCCTTTGAAACATTTTCTAAGCCAAGTACCCCCTGACCGACCCCGAACATTTTTGATAGAAAAAGCCTATATAAATAATTACAATATAGTGATGTTCCATCAGTGTGTGATTTATGAACTCCTTCATCCATGAATTACAACAAACAAAGAACATAACGACAGATTTTTAAGTAATAATTATATGTTTAAAGAACCAATGAACAAAATGTTATATTATGCAAAAACTATAAAATACAATAAACAAATATTATAATAAAATGTGGTGCCTGATGTGCTACCATCCAAAACCCCATGCATAAACAAGAAAACAGCATTAAATAAGCAGTCACAATGCATGAAAGGGTTAAAAACAAAACAAAACATTGTAACAAAAATGTGCAATTACAATAAAAACTACGTAATAACACTGCAATGACACTATTAATGAGTTTTAGGTGCATTATACTGCATTTGAAAATAGAAAATACAATTTAGTGTCAAAACATTGGCAAAAAACAAAAACAATT